TCCTTCCTAATAAATAAATGGATTACAGCCTTTACACAAGAGGATGGCCCAGCACAGGAGGAACAACAACACAGGGCCAGAATCAGCAGTTCACCTTCACCTAAAAGAAAAAGGACACTCATTTGAGGACAATAATGTTCACATTTTGGACAGAGAAGATAGGTGGTTTGAGAGAGGAGTGAAAGAAAAGAAGTCCAGTTGCTATGACTCAACCTCCAGACAATTCCACCTGGATGACTGAGAATCTTCATAAACATAGGAAACCTTCTCTTTTACCAGATTTTTCTGATTAGCTGGCACTGTTGCATTAGTTCTTTAGGCACTCATGTTTTCCTACTGCACATATAAATTATTAAAAGCACAAGTTTCTAAAGCTATGCATCTTTATAAATAGTATGATTCAGTGTCTCTGAATTTTAAATTCAAAGCATAACAGTAAAATAGCCCCTGTGAAATGTCTTAGTTTACAATTCAGCCCTGCCTCAATTCTTCAGAAAGTTACCTTTTAGTATATGTTGCTAATTGTCAGTACTATTAATCATGCACTCTAGATTGCTCAGTGTGAATGTGTAAAAATGTTAAATTGTCTTTGAAAGAGATCTGAACATTTGGAATAAACGTACATAAAACAAAATTATTTTTCTTCTTCTAATTGAACAGCAGAAATGGTTTAGTCTGAATCCCAAATGCATTTCTATTGCCTACACTCTTAAAACTCCCCTTTCTCACACATACACCCGAACACCCACATTTAATTAGGGATATAAGGGATGTGAAGCAGAAGTCCCATTTCTAAATATGTTCAAACCAAGAAACATAATTCAAGAGAGCTCTGCTTCTATTTAATCTTCAATAATTACAAAAATATTAGCATGGACGCATTCTTTCTATCTACACTGATTTGTGTCTCATGCATGGGTGGAGGTACCCTTTTTCCTCCATTGAGCCACCTTTACTTGGGTGAACTAGGATTGCTGGCAGATGAACGGAGACAAAGCCAGTGGTTGCTGGGTCTCTCTCTTCCTGCCAGCCTCTTCTCAGCTCAGCAGGCTAGTTACCTTTCTCCTACCTCATATATCTCTTATTTGTTTCAATCAAACCTAAGAGAACTTTATGTAATATTGTGGCTTGTTGGGTTGCTTAAGCAGACCACTGGCCTATAATATAAATTCTTATGATCTGAAATGTCTGTTGGGTGAAGGAGAAATCAAGGCAGGATAGAATCTACCCTGGCTTATGTGATTCATTACACAGATATAGAGAGACGTAAACTTTATTTTGGTCATTGACCAATAAAAATACATCCAGTAAAACAAAGAAAGTTAACTCATAACATCAGTAAGTACTAGCAACCATTTGGGGGTGAAGCTTACACATATTGTAGCAAAATTTTGCTACTTTTAGAATATGAATGGATAAAAGTCTTGTTATGAGGAGCATATGACACTTAGTAGTAGACATCCTACCTCGTGATAAGGTAAGAATGGGAAATATTGAAAGGGCCAAGGGTCTTAAGTCAGTTTCCTGACCGTGGAGACAGTAGGAGGCCTTCTAGTGTCATCCTGTCACCTAGAATGTGCTAAAAATTTGCCAGCCTATTTGTGAATGAATGAGTGAATTTTTCAGAGTATAAAGGATGAGAATGAAAGTGGTTTGTCTCAGGAAGGTATCTTCCCATGTTCATTCCATTTCTATCCTTAAATCGTCCCAAATTTTATAAAAGGGCAAATCTGATCCGTTTAATATCAAGTGAACTCTCAACAAAGAATCATAGTACCAAGAGAAATGCTCTTGAGTGGCATGTGCATTATAGACAATCTAGAAGTGTACCCAGTTTACACCCCCCCCAAAAAAATAAAAATGGCTAGAATAGCCAAAAGATATCTACCAGAGAGGTTATGAATCATCCGAAAGTAAACTTAGACATCATCTTTAAAAATTAATATTATAGCAAACTGTGCTGAGAAATTGAGTATATTTGTGAACATTTGCCTCCCAACATCGAATGTACTATGCTGTTCTCATTAGCACTGCAATAAACATTATAAATTCTGTTTAGATAATTCTCAAGATTATTAAATGGATACCGATAATAAAATTCATTTCTCCTTACCCGAAATGAACTGTTTATACATGATTAACTGGCTGATGGATATATTGTCATTTCCATACAAACCGCCCTTGGACACAGCCAAGTACCACTCCTATAGGATTTAAGTCAGACAGCAGTTATCACATTTCTAAAATTTTACTTTACATCATAGTAAAGAGTTTTATATTTGGTGTATGTGCTTGGAAATGGGGTAGGGCAGTTGGCAGAAGTACCGGCTGCCTAGTAATGAGAAAGGTAATGGTTGCAATTCTAAGGAGATAAGAGTTGCTTTAAAAGCTTGTTCTGAAGTCATCACCTGATGAACCGGTAGAGCCTCTGAGTACTGATTGACTGCATTGAGCATTTTCAAATCACTTCTGGCTCTTTGCATGCCTTTCTAGTTTCATGCATGCCTGCTGATGTCTTGGGGACAGAGGATATGTAATAAAGTTTGGCTGTGTTATCTTAGATTGTCTGTATAGTTTCTCTGTCTTGGAATACTTCATTTTGTTATCCAGAGGATAATCATTCTTATCCCCTTGCAAAAGTAAGCAAGGGTATAGAGCTTATACATAAATATACATCCTAAGAATA